TAAAAGCCTTTTCACACCAAAAGTGAAATGCATGAGCCTCAGGCTGAAGGAAATGTAAATTCACGTCTGTACAGTAGAGAGCGCAGCTCAAACAAACCTTTCAGTTATGCTGCTATTATGGATTGCATGAAGAATAGGATGCAGAAAGTTCAGCAATAAAAACAAATGAAATCCGATTTCTCTCAACATGCGGACAGGAGAGCTGTCAGTCAATAAATGAGAAAACAAAGTAACTGGTGATACTTATTTGAAAAAGTAACTCGGTTATTTTCTTGTAAATTAAAAAGTAATGCATGGCCTTACAAGTTACTTGAAAAAGTAATCTGATTGCATAACTTGCGTGACTTGTAATGTGTTACCCCAACACTGCTAGTAGTCATTTAAACGAGTCAACGTTGCGTCAGAACTAGTTTTGTTCACTACACAGTAGCCAGATGTGAGAGTAATTTAGGGTCTGGCATCGCTGCAAATCTCAGGATTTACTCACAGCCTGTTTAATGAGGTTTGGACATTTGTGGATGGATGAATCCAGCGTTTTTAGCGTTCTTCGAGGAACATGGAGATTGTTTCATCATGTTATGAAGAGCATTTTCTCAGATGTTGAGGAATATGACGTCCGGTGAATCATCACAGGAACATACAAGGGCTCAGACAAACTCTTGTTTAGATTCGGTCTTCTCTGTTTCTTTCTTCCGCCGTGTTTTGTTTGTGTTTTTGTTTGCTTTTCTCCGGTCGTGGAATGTCACACCATCCTCTCGAGCGTCCTCTCAGAGAGAACTGTGGGAAAACAAATAAGTTTGACCAACCGATCTAGCTGACCAATCCAAAACAGCAGGTAACGTTGCTTGAAATCATGTGTTTTCCTTGAAGGAGCTTCATGGACCTCTGAGAACATCTGGCAGATGCTTTTATCCAACGTAGCTTACAAATGAGAAACATAACAAGCAATTAATCATAAAAAATGACCAAAACTTGGTGCTGAGGAGTTAAAGTGCAGAAAAGAGACTTTTTTTGTTTGTTTGTGCATTTGATTGTGGTTGAAGTTGTGCTCAGAATTGTATCTTGAAGGTTTTGTTGGTGTCAGCATATATCAGGTGGGGGATGAAATCTCTTGGGGTTAGTGTTAGTCAAATATGATCACTAGATAGACTTCCCTCGGGCCGCTGGTTTAAGGTTTATGAGGGAAGTATCTCAACACTGTGTCAGGATGAATGATGGTTTCTCTGACTCCACATTCGTCTCTGGGAGGATTATATAACCGACTGTCAGTCCTGTAAGAGGATGATGTTTCTTCGTTGATGGAGTTTCTCAAACCTGCGGCCTGTTGCATGTTAAATCTGTGTCTTAGCAACTAGTCTAACCAACTAGCAGCTAGTCAAGGGTTAATCAGTCTTAGTTTTGGGATTCAAATTAGACATTAGAAATCTACTTTTTATGTAACTGACATGAAGTCTTAAAGAAAAAAATTTGATGCCTAGCTTGTAAGACTAGTCTAAATAGTTCAAATCTGTTCTTTGGCAGGGTTATTAAACTAACTAGCTAACTAACTAAATAAATATTAAAATTGATTAATTTATAATAAATATTAAATAATAAATATTAACTGAAATGAAGTCAAATATATAAAAAAAAAACATTTTATTTCAGCTAACATTTTGCATTTTCATTTAGTTTAACATGATGTACTAAAATAACTAAAACTGAAATAAAAAGTAATAAAAAAAATATAGATGTAAAAATGGCAAAACACTGTATAATTACTAAGACTTAAAAAAATTAAAATGAAAACTGAAATTATAAAAATATTGAATTTGATATAAAAAAAAATATGATACAATTATAATATAAAAAATATACAAAAATACAAAATATATAAAAATATTTCAAAATATAAAAAAATAATAGTATCTCAATTATACTAATATAACACTGTTCTGTTCTGCTTATTGAATTAACATTGCTTAACAAAGATATGATTATTAGGAAGATCAAGGTTTTTTATTCATACAAGATCTCCTTTGACACATTCAAAACCTTGATCTTAATCTTAAAAATATAATGTTTGTGTTTGTTAGATATATGCATGTTTAAGTTACATATGAAGTGCCTCCAAAAAGCATTTAAGCCACACTTTGAGAATGTTTTGCATTTATTTAACAAAATATTAAAAGCAAGTGAGAGTGATTTTAAAGAAATACAGCACTATTCAAGTTGTTGTGAAACATGTTAGTTATTTGACTAACTAAACCGTTGGTTTCTCTGTAGACAAACATGATCAGCAAACTAACTGATCTTGCGCTTTCATTTCTTTAGCGCCACCTAGGGTTGAGCCGTCAAGCTGTCAGATTCCTGTTGAGCGTCCAGAGTTTCTGATCTGTTTTGCATCAGAATGATGGCAGTCAAATTGTTTGTGACACAGAAATCTTGTTCTTTACATTTTAGCCCTGCAAAATACTGTAAAGACCTTCTCGGGAGAGCAGTCGCTCACACTTTCTGAAACGATGGGCCGTTTCCTCTCCTGTGTGTTGTGATCCGCAGCGTTCCTGTGTTCAGCTTCTCTCGTCGACAGGATAATTACAGTTTATAACGGCACCAGACGGACCTCCATTAGCCCGCTCCGTCACAGTCATAAAATGCTTTGTTTGGGTTTCATTAGACCGCCAGGACCCCCCAAAACACACACACTGAGCTTTCACACACACATTCGACAGCTAAAGTGCATTAAACGCTTTCTCTGTCATAGTGCATTCATGTTATGTGATGTCTGTGGCTATTACACATATTACATGTGTGTCATACTATGCTATACATATTCATATTTTAGTATTATTTGTGTACTTTTATAGTATATATTAATATTTTGACTTTGCTTTTGTTTTCAGTTTATATTTTAATTTAAGTTTTGAAAATTTTGTTTTGTGCTTCGGCATTTTTGTTTTTATTAAATATTTTTTAATTTTTTAAATTTCGGGTCTAGTTTTAAAAATGACTTCAACGTAAATGTATTTTATTTCATTTAGTTGCCAAGGAAACATTTACACTTTTCTAGTTTTTCATATTTATGCACAATCAAATCACTGCAAAAAGTGTTTTTCTCAGTAGAAAAAAAGAAAATCAGTATAAATATCTAAATCAATATACAAGATGCAAAAATTACATAATATAAAACATTCATGTTTAATGAGAAATTGCTAAATTATTTTATTAGTTAATTAATTAGTCAGAATTAATTCAAAGGTTATTTTACGAGAGCCGACAGAAATCATGCTCAGCAGAAGATCTGTTTAGCGTAATTATAATTATTAGTGAGTTTTATGTCTTTCAGTGTTGCACAAGTAGTTCTCTGTTACTTTAAGGTTTCTGGTTTGTAGCCCCGCCCACAATGGAATCTCATTGGTTCAAATTCTCATGTATTCTGATTGGCTTTGATTTCTTTCAGTGTATTTATTGCTGGAAACATGTTACATCGCTCTTGGTTAGGATGAGGTTTTACCATGATTTTACTGTGATTAAGGGGGTTTTATAAGAGCATCTCTTACTGCATGGCCTCGAGGGGTTTGTTGTTTGATTCTGGACTGTGTTCTGTTGATTCTGTACATCTGAGGAGCACATGCTGGGTTCCTGTAGTGAGTCACTGGAGAACAGGCTTCCAGCAGGAATTCAGGCCTGAGGGATTCACAAACAGCAGGAATGTCTGATGATTCCCATTCACGCTGGAAAACAAGGAAAGCATCATGCATGGCATTACTGTACATGAGCGCCCGCCTTCGGTTCAGTGTGAAGGTCGCAGCGATGTGGGTCTGAGATTTTAGATCGAAAAGCATGGAAACATCTGACGGCGGTTTGTGTGAAGGCCTTTATTTTGGCAGGAATTCCAGTCATAACGTGCCTTCAAAAACCAGTTCTGCATTATATGTGCAAAACGAGCAGTGTTGCTGCAAAAAGTGAAAAACATTGTTAAATCATGATAAAGTAGTCTTGTTTATTGAGAAATTGATCAAAATGAAGTGAGTTTATGATTACAACAAGAAAATAACTGCAAATGGGGTCAGAAAAGGTGTTGGATATTAATTAATTCAATCAGAATGAATTCAAAGAGAAAAGCTTATTTTTCAGACTCCAGTTGCAAATATTTTAAAGACATGTTATACTTGCACAATAGCAAGAAATTGGATTAAATATGCAAAAACGAATTAACCTGCCAAATTAAATGCAACATATTTCAGTCAGCTTGAGACATTTAATACTGTATGCTGCATATGTATTTGTTTGATTTGTGAATTGCATGTGATATGCAGTATATAGTATACTCTATACTCTAGGGATAAACGATTAATCAAAACAAATGACAAATTAAAAAAAAAAATCACGATATGGAAAAAGAAGCTTTCATGGCTCCCTGTGGATTTCCATCAAAATAAAAGTCTGATGGTTTAACATTTGAAAATGAAGCTAATTAAACAGCCATAAATATTAGTATTGTAATTTTACAGTTGTAATGTAAAAATATTATTATTATTAAATACTAATTTTTTCTCATTTACAGTGAAATATTAGAATAGTAATAGTTCTTTTTTGTTTTTATTTTATTTTTATACTTTTAACAATAATAATAATATTAATTATTATTATTATTTTTTTTTTTTTTTAAATATCCATTTTTATTTTACAATAGTAATAGTTCTTTCTTTGCTTTTAGTATTTTTTATTTAGTAATAATAATAATAATTTAACATTATACAACTGTAAAATTACAATAATATTAATAATTATTATTATTATTATATAATAGCCATATTGATATATAATCACAAAATGTTGTGCAGCCCTACAAACAAGCACAGCATGTCTGGAATTTCTTTTTAACCGCATCGTAAATGAAAATTGCTGAAAAATAGCAATTAAATTTTTTCCGTCCCAGATCATTCAGCCATACACTACACAGTACGCAGTGCCAGTGTTTTATGACTGTTGAAGTGTTTGTTGTTGATTGTCTGCAGGAGATTCCTCGTCCTCCTCCTGTCAACATGTGTGGCGCTGCTGTCAGCAGAAGAGCCATCAGCAGCTCCAGGTATGCTCACCTCTCACCCTTCACCTTCTCACCTCTGACCTTTGACCTCTGAAATTCTGCATGCACTCAGAGTTCTGCCATTATTTAAAGCCGATGTGTGTCATTTGGATGTTAAAATACTTCCTCGTATCCCAGTTTAATATTCAGAGTAAATCGTTTGTAATATTTAAAGGGATAGTTCACCCAAAAATGAAAATCTGATGTTTATCTGCTTACCCCCAGGGCATCCAAGATGTAGGTGACTTTGTTTCTTCAGTAGAACACAAACGAAGATTTTTAACTCAAACCGTTGCAGTCTGTCAGTGTTATAATGGAAGTGAATGGGAATCACGGCTTTGAGAGTCAAAAAAACATACACAAACAAAACCAAATTAAACCCTGCGGCTCGTGACGATACATTGATGTGTAAAGACACGAAACGATCGGTCTGTGCAAGAAACTGAACAGTATTTATATAGTTTTTTACTTCTGATTCACTGCAATGTCTGAACTGTCCTGGGCGGACCATTGACACTCCTAATTGAGATTGTAGATGGAGTGTCAATGGTCCATTTGAGAGATAGGTGGCAGTAATGCACTTATAAGTCTGCGATCCGCCATAAAGCAAGAAGAAGACACGTCACGCACCGGCTGTCGAGAACGCGCTCAGGACGCGCGCTCAGGACAGTTCAGACATTGCGGTGAAAATCAGAGGTAAAAAACTATACAAATACTGTTCAGTTTCTTGTAGGGATGCACCGAAATGAAAATTCTAGGCCGAAGCTGAAGCCGAACAAAATGAAACACTGGGCCGAAGGCCGAATACCGAACACGATTTTTCACATTTTTCCCCCATGTAGGCCTATTTTGCCATTTTTTTCAGAATTGCATTAATTAAATTGCCAAAATGTGCTTTTTACTGATTTGTCCTGCTTTTCAAATAAAAAATAAATTACAAAACAACAATTAAAAAATATTTACTTAACACTGAACATTTTTTTAACATTCTAGCAGACATTATACCAACAAAGCACAATTTAGCTTAAAATTAATAAGTTAGTAAAATAATATTTTTGGCCATTTTTGAGACTGCCTTTAAAAAAATTCACAAAAATGTTACTGAGCAACTGACGAGTAACACAGTTTTAGCGCAGATTTTCCTCACGCTTTGGACTTTGAACCCTGGCGCCGCAAGCTCGCGCAGCGCTGTCAGAATACATGCAATTCGTACGTGCATTAGAAAATATAACATTCTGCAGTTTATTTACAAATCGTTTGAGGTCATTTAGCAATTTCAATCATCATACAGTATTAGCCACCTTTTCTTCTCATCGGAGACATGATGCAGCACTAAGTCTCTCGCTGTCGGTGCTTCACGCTTGTAATGATTTCTGCGTCTTTCTCTGATAGTTTTAAATACTTTCACACTGTCGACATGTTTGCTGCAACGCGTTCGTCATTGTTCGGTTCATATTATTCGGCCTTTTCGCTTTTCGCTTATTCTTAATAATTTCGGTTGCCGAATATTCGGTGCATCCCGCAACGGTTTGAGTTAAAAATCTTCGTTTGTGTTCTACTGAAGAAACAAAGTCACCTACATCTTGGATGCCCTGGGGGTAAGCAGATAAACATCACATTTTCATTTTTGGGTGAACTATCCCTATAAAACGGAAGGCGTTTCAGAGTCATTTTAATGCGTTTTGTTTGTTTTCCTTCCGATTGTATTTCTGTTTCTACGGAAACACCGATCTGCCAGTGTACATATTTTACTGTTAATATGAATCTGAGACTGTGTGAAATGTCTATGTAGATTGCATATAAACACACAGAGAAAGAGTGATGGGGGAAGAAAGGAGCAGTGAGCAGTGAGCAGCGAGCAAACTCATAAAACATTTTACAGGCACTAAATGGCCATTTGTGTGTATAATAATGCTTGTATATGAGCTATAATATATGATTGGCTCTCATATATGATGCATGGCAGTCAGTGTGAATTACTGAGTGCTTATAAACAGATGAAACAGTGGAAACATATTAAAAAGTTTACATTTATGCATTTAGCAGATGCTTTATGAATTATGCAAAGACTTACAAAAAAAGAGCAAATGCTAAAGAGGTTTGAGTGTGTGTGATTCTTATGGAAGCTTGTTTCTGGCACAGAATGAAAAAAATCTAAAATAAAGAAAAGGTAATTGCCACATTTTTTATCTCACAATTGTGAGATCCTATATCACAATTGTAAGTTATAAACTCTTTTTTTCCCCCTTGACATTCTGAGTTTACATCTTGCAATTCTGACATTTTTTTTTTATAATTCTGAGTTATGAAATTATGAATTTAAATCTCACAATTCTGACTTTTTCCTTGTAATTCTGAGTTTACATCTTACAATTCTGACTTTTTCCTCATAATTCAGAGTTTACGTTTTGCAATTCTGACTCTTTCCCGTAATTCTGAGTTAAAGTCTCATAATTCTAAGTTTAAATCTCACAAATCTGACTTTTTCTCTGAATTCTGAGTTTGCATCTTGGAATGCTGAGTCTATATCTCGCAATGTTGAATTTATGAGTTTATTTCTCTCAATTTTGAGTTTATATCTTGCAACTCGCAATTCTGACATTTTTCTTGTAATTTTATTGGAAAAAGTCAGAATTCTAAGATATAAACAAAGAATTGCAAGGGGGAAAAGTCAGAATTGCGAGATAAAAAGTTGTAATTACCTCTTTTTTTTTAATTTTTATTCCATGGTGGAAACCGGCTTCCATGAACTTTACTCTAGAGTAAATTCAGAAGGAAACCAAAAGCGAAGGAAGGACATTGGGAAGCAGGAAAGGAAGGAAATGCAAGCGTTCAAACAGAAAGAATTTGTGTCAGATTGCATGTGCTTGTGAGCGTGCTGCTCTCTCTTCACTGAATCGTCTGCGTGTCTGTTCTTGCGCTCCGAGTGACTCTCTATCTCTCACTTTCGGTCATATTTTCATCTTAATGGGTCATTTCCAGATTTCTGCAGGGCTCTTCTCTCTCGCTGAAGACTGTACAGATACAGAGAGACCGTGTGGAAGTGAGGAAGGTTCAGGCTGGTTTAGATGGACTCACAGGTCAAGCAGGTTAGCCTGCGGTGAGCTGCTTTTCTTCTGATGGAAACCTGATCTAAGCTGGTGGGAGGATTTTGGCATTTGCATTTATTTGTGTGAGATGGAGAACATCAACTCAGAGGGCAGGAAGAGAGATACTGAGAGGAAACCATAGTGATTCAGACTGGGTGATAAATGGCGAATTTATATATAGTATATTTAGAATGATTTTGAACTAAATATATACAGTATACAGTACATACAGTAATTGGGATTTCTTTTTTATTAGGTTGTTAAGTTTTCAAAAGAAGAGCTTGTCATTATACTAATTTCACAATCCGTTCTTGTTCAGACAGATATGTTTTAATAGCATCGCTGATTTAAATGTCAGCAAATATAACATTGTGACAGGTTGACAAGCTCCTGAATCAGTTTCAGTGATTCGATTCAAGACTGATTCAGAAATGTGTTGCAATTCAAAGGATTTTTGGCATTTTGTGTATATTAAATGTAGTTAGAAATATATATATATATATACAGTGGGTACGGAAAGTATTCAAATCTGCAAAGATGTCAACAATTCTGTGTTTTTCTGTCAATATGGGGTGCTGTGTGTACATTAATGAGGAAAAAAAATTAACTTAAATGATTTTAGCAAATGGCTGCAATATAACAAAGAGTGAAACATTTAAGGGGGTCTGAATACTTTCCGTACCCACTGTATATGTAATTATATAAATATAATACTGTAAATAAATTGCTTATTGCTAAAATATTTTGCTATGTTTTAAATACTTGTGTGTATTTATAGATAGATAGATAGATAGATAGATAGATAGATCGAATAAAACTATACAGATTATAGATTATATAACAAAATAAATATATTTTTTGTTTTTATGTTCATCAAGGCTGCATTTGTTTGATTAAAAATACAGTAAAAACACTATTATTGTGAAATATTATTACAAATCTAAAACAGCTGTTTTCTATGTGAATATCTGTTAAACTGTAATTTATTTCTGCGATCAAAGCTGTATTTTCAGCATCATTACTCCAGTCTTCAGTATCACATGATCTTCAGAAATCATTCTAATATGCTGATTTGCTTCTCAAGAAACCAATCTTATATTTAAAATAACTGTTTTCTATGTGAATATCTGTTAAACTGTAATTTATTTCTGCGATCAAAGCTGTATTTTCAGCATCATTACTCCAGTCTTCAGTGTCACATGATCTTCAGAAATCATTCTAATATGCTGATTTGCTGCTCAAGAAACATTTCTGATTATTATCAGTGTTGAAAACAGTTGTGCTGACGAATATTTTTGTGAAAACTGTGATCAATTTAGTTTTTCAGGATTCACAGATGAATAGAAAGTTCAGAAGAACAGCATTTATTGGAAATAGAATTTTTTTGTAACATTATAAATGTCTTTACTGCCACTTTTAATCAATTTAATGCATCCTTGCTGAATAAAAATATTAATTTCTAATTAATTTTTTAGAAATTAATTTCTAAAAGTATGAATTTTCTCAAAAAGAAAAGAAAAAAGAAAAGACGTTTAGACCACTAGCATGCAGTGCTGCATTAACGTCAGCTGCCGCTGGTCTAGATGGAGGGGGTGGAGGTTGTGATAGCATAGTCTTGCAGTTTACACAGCATTTGATCTTTATCTGAAATCATCACTGTAACAAAGATGATATAAAGATCAAACACTCGCTGAGATACAAAACACTGCCTGGCTGCCGTTCAAGCTGACATTAGGAAGAAAAGACACCTTCAAACAATAGAGGACAGCCTGCAGTAAAGATGTTACACAAGCACACATGAATTATGATTGCACAAGATCCTGAAGCCTTAAAGTATATCATTAGAAAACTGCTCGACTATCATTACACTGCGAGTTGGCAGCTTACAGAAGATTGTTTACTGTACTGTACATTCCTGTAGCTCAAGCAGAAGAGCACGACGCTAGCAATGCCGAGGCCGTGGGTTCGATTCCCAGGGAATGCATGAACTGATAAAATGAAGCGACACAGAAACCAAAACGTTTAATTTAGGCGAAAACCAAGTTTATTTAATAATCAGTTAATTAATCAAATGTGTTTAATAATCGACACTCAAAACAAAACTGAGTTGTATAAAAACAATTAAAATGCATGTAAGAAACTTTAATGATAAAATGATGCCAAATTAAAGAGCATCAAAACTCTTAAAATTGACAGAATTTGAAAGCTGAGACTTTGTTTCATTTCAAAAGTAACAAAGCGCAAAGCTTATTGCGATTATTGGATGGGATGTGCGCTATAAGTAATGCTTTTATTGATGTTTTTTTCACAAATCACAAAGAAGATATTTTGAAGAATGCTGGTAACCAATGACTTCCATAGTATGGAAAAAAATACTATGGAAGTCAATGGCTACCAGTATCAGTTTGTTTATCAACATTCTGGATTTATCAAAATGTGCAGTATGTAACTGAGCAAAAGTGTATCCCACAATGCAGTGCACTCGTGGTGCTTACTCATGCATGCTGTTGCTAGGGTGTTGTCGGTGGTTGCCAAGGCATTGCTATATTGCTAAGTGGGTTGTAACACATCGCTGTTTGGTTGCAAGGGTGTTCTGGGTGGTTTCTAGGTGGTTTCTTACTGGTTCAATGCAACAACAAAAAAATCTAACCTAAAGTGTCTATGACATTTTGTCAGTGTAAGTCTTTTTTATCATCCACCAACTGTCTGAAAGACTAATCTTTAGTTACGTTAATATTTATCCGCAGCTTAACATAATTTGTTTGGCACTCCAGTTGGCCATAGCACGACAGAGTTCAGTGTTCAATTTGAACTGCCAAAGAGGTGAAAGTTCACAGGGTCGCCCATGTGCTACCAGTCAAAAACATGGCTGGCTGAGCTTTGAAGTCTAATTCTCTTTTTTTTCATGGTTGTTTAAGATCCCGTCTGTTTTTAAAACCACGGTGAATCAAGCAACAAAGAGTTTCGAGGCACAGTAACAGCCTACGCTGAACTTGTAACTCCAGAACAGAAAGAACGAGAGGGATCAACGGTAACTTTGTGTCTCAACCGTTGTTGTCTTTCGCTTGTCATCTGTTTAAGTGGAGGATGAAGAGATCTGTTTAAACGAAAAGCAGAAAGTCTGGATTAGTAATGAAAGTGCCTGTTTCCAGCACATTTCCTCAGAGATTTCTCCATGGACATTCTCAAACCGTGTAAAAGCTTGTCTGTGTTTGCTGACAGGAGGACAAGCTTTCCTGCTCACTTGTTGGTGGCCTAATGGTTAGAGAGAGTCGGACTTGTAACTCAAAGGTCACGGGTTTGAGTCTCGGTACCGGCAGGGATTGTAGGTGGGGGCAGTGAATGTACAACGCTCAATACCATCCTCAAGACCCTTGAGCAAGAATACTGCTCCGGGTGTGTGTTCACGGTGTGTGTGTGTGTGTTGGTTCACTACTCACTGCTGTGTGTGTATACTTGGATGGGTTAAATGCAGAGCACAAATTGCGAGTATGGGACACTATACTTGGCCTTACTTCACTTTTCATTTTCACTTGATCTCAAAAACAGACTTGCTGTAGTTCCTTACGGATCTACTCTGCTGCCCTCAGGCAAGTGTGCAATTTCCTCATTGTTAAAATGCTTCTGTTCTAGCTTAATATACAGAGACAGCAGGTAAACCATTTGTAGGTTAATTCCCCTGAAAAGTATGGCTGTATTGAACATTGTTAGGTTTGCATGAGCATCCTAACCAGCCCGAGAGAGCAACATGGACCAAGTTTGTTGGCCTTGAAAACATTTGAAGTTGAACATGTGCAATTCTGTTTGGTGACACTGGTGGTACAGAAATTGCAAACGTTACTTGTAAGTCCAAATTCTGTAGAACAAGGGCTTACCTTATCAATTAATGGGTACAAGTGGGAAAGTCTAGGTTAAAAGTAAGCATTTTACAAATACTACTGCTAACCCAGTCGTGTGTTGTATTTAACAAAGTGTGTAATTTCTTTGATGTTAAAATGCTTCTATCCTACCTTAATATGTGGAGACAGTAGGTAAACCATTTGTAGGTTGATTTCCCTGAAAAGTGTAAGGCTGAGACTCTGTGGCGCTGTTAAACACTTTTACGTTTGCATGAGCATCCCAACTCAGCACCACGGACTCAACCAATGCATGAGACTATCTGTTGGTCTTGAAAAAAATTAAAGCATGCAGTTCTGTTTGGTGACTCTGGTGCAAAAATGGCAAACTTCATCTTTAAGTCTAAATTCCATTTAGATCAGTCCACCCCAAACCAGAACGTGCCTTATCAGTTGATGGGTGTAAGTGGGTAAGTCTGGGTTAGGAGCAAGCATTTAGATAAAACTAATTTGTCCTAAAAATATCAGTAAGTAATATGCATTCACTGAAGCTCCACTAGAGCATCCACCTAAATGTCTGTGACTTTTGTTGTTTAGACAGGTCAAAAAATTTGATGCTAATAGTAGGGCTGCACAATTAATCAAATTTCTAATTTACGGATGGCACAATTACGTAATCATTATTCTACATGCTTAAGATGTGTTTTTGTTATCTTAAGGGTTTTTCCATTGTTCTAATTTTAGTTTTAGTATAACATTATAATACCATGCATATTTTTACTGTTTTATTTAAAGAAGAAACCAATCCAATGTATAGATGCCATTTGAGGCTTAATACTATAGAAAAGCAATAAAAAGTCAAATGAAAAGTTGAAAAGTGTTTTCAACTTGTTTATTTTCATCTAAAAATATGGCATGCGGTTGCTTCAAACAGTGGTATAAACATCATTCTATGTAAATTGTGATAATCGTGATTAATAATTGCAATTACAGTCTCAAGGGAATAATTGACAATTATGATTTTTGTCATAATCGTGCAGCCCTAGCTAACGGATAGCTCATTCAAGGTGCGAATGGATATTTGCACTATTCAGGAAGTCAGCTTATGAATGCTTTACTTAATTGTCTCTGCACATTAAACTGGGGCACAAGAAAGTATCTAACATCCAAATTAAATTATGTGTGATAAGTTTTTCATTTGAGTCTAAACCAGGACTCTTCAACTCCAGTCCTGGAGGGACGGTGTCCTGCAGAGTTTAAATCCAACCCCATCAAGTACCCTGGAACAAGTCTTTTACAGTGTTCAGAAATACTTGCAAATTACATACAGGTGTGTTTAATTAGGGTTGGAACTAAAGTCTGCAGGACATCTGCCCCCCAGGACTGGAATTGAAGAGCCCTGGTCTAAACTAAACAGATATGACGAGGGATTAGTTCCTCAGAATGTTCTTTCTCATCTCTCTGGCCACTCAGATGCACACAGACTAATAACATTTGACAGAAAAAAGAAAGAAGGATCCACACAGAAAGAGAAAGAGAGAAAAGAGATGTGTGGTTTCAGACCCCCACTTTCCTCTCATTCTCTCTCTTCATCTGGACCACAGATGCTATGCAAGGGCTCATGGGTAATTTGTGATGTCATGTATGTCAAAGCACATATTTAACAAAGCCGCTTGTGTTGTTTGTATTATAGAGGCCTTCTAAGTTAGAAAATGTTTATGGTGACTGTCAGCCAAATTGAAATATTTAACTGATTTAAATTAAAGCCGTGGACTAGTTGCTAATCTCTACTGCTCATCCTTTAGTTTAGAGGTTTGAACAAACTTGGGACACTCTAGCATCATGCTAAAAACCACTTTGAACACCCTAGCAGAACCAACCACACAACAAACTCGCATCGAATATCTTTCTTGTGGTGTTTACCTAGCCAAACCCTGCTTAGCTTGTTGCTTACAATTGTCTCTTTCTTTCTCTCAAGGTGTAGACCTTATTCATCAGCTGGGCCTTTCGGGTCGCAGAGACATACACTCTTCCGGGACACCTTACCTCACCTCCCTTGCTTCATCTCTGTCCATCCTGCCCCCTGGTTTTGGGGTTGTCCTCGGACAGGATTCCCTTATTGAGGCCCCATCGGTGGACCTGCTCCCCGCAGGCGTGGAGGAGGAGTTTTCTATCATAGTGAGTTTAAGCTCCTGGCGAGCGAACAATGCCTTTATTTTTAGTGTGCGTGATGGCAGGGACAGACTGCAGTTCGGCTTGCAGCTCCTGCCCGGAAGGGTAGTGGTTTACACGGGAGAGAAAGCGTCAATCTACTTCAAGTACGATGTTCAAGATGGACAGTGGCACTCCTTCTCTGTGGGGGTCCGGCCACGCTCCGTATCTTTCTATGCACGCTGCGGGGCTGTGCAGTACGGCGAGGAAACGCTGACCCGTCCACAGACGTTGAGCTCTGAAGGCCGCCTCTCTGTGGGAAGGATGGACTCCAGGATGGTGCAGTTTGAAGGAGCATTATGCCAGCTGGATATTTACCCCTCCGCCCAAGCTGCGGTGCACTACTGTGACTATGTTAAAAAGCAGTGCAGACTGTCCGACACCTTCCGATCTCTGTCAGGGAGCTCAGAGTCCCCATTTCCATCAGTTTCACCTTCCCCAAAGTTCCACCGCAGCTCTTTGGATTCACTCTCTCAGAGATTTATCCCAACTCTTGCTGATCACTCCACTACGGCCACCAACTCTATTCCCACAGCACTTTTTGACCAGTTTTCAACCACAAGCTCTCAGATGTTTCGCTCCAACACACCTAGGCACATGAACCCATCTTCAAGACCATTCAGCAAGGTGCAATCCCTCTACTTCACTCCAGAGACTTCCACGAGCAACCCCACAACAGACAAGAACCTTGACGGTGAAAATGTCACTGAGAATCAGCCACTTCTCAAGAAGCCCAGAGCAACTCGGGCCACGCCGGATTTGATCACCATCGTCAAGCAGAGCCGTTTGAAAGAGGCCTTGAGGAATGACGATAGAGCCCACCAATCCAACAAAGAGCTACTCCAGACCAATCCTAAAGTGAACAGCACCATCCTGTACCGTGAAGAGAGCAGCTACAACCTGGTGGACCAATCTGAGGAACAGGTCCAGGAGGGGGTGCACGATGCAGGATACTCGGAGGGTTACGGATACGACTATGGTTTTGAAGAAGACGAATATTTTTTTGACTACGATGGATTTGTTGGTCCTAAAGGAGAACAGGGTCCTCCAGTAAGTACTGTCTGATTATCTTTCTCATGTTTCTGAATGACTTCCATAATCAAGTCGCTGCAAGCCAGAGCAAAGCGCTACTTGAGAATTCATCCAAATTACAATGCACAAGAGTTCAGGCTAATTTATGGCTTTTTTTTTGGGCAGAATGAAAAGCTCTTTGAGAGAGAGCATGCACTTGGCTGAGTTTCTGCGAGTCATATTTGATCAGGAGTCTACTGGGCAAGAGAAGTAGTAAATAATTTGTCGGTGACAGGTAGTGATTTAGAAGCAAGGTGATAGTTTGTTTTTGTCCTCCTGGACTTTCAGGTGGTTATAATAGCATGTTTCAAGTTGCTGCCAGTTGCTCATGCTGTAATTTGACTGATGTGCTAATTTACACCTCCATTTGTAATGGGGTTTGCCCTACCTAGCAACAAGATAACCAGGTGATGTCAAAACACTCAGTCTAGACTAATTCTGCTTTCAAAGTCATGTCAGGATGATCATGTTTATGAGATGAGCGCACACGAATGGCACCACAATGTTGTAATTAGTTGTGGAGAAACTCTGGGGTTTCTTTCCGAGCCGGAGGCGTATCATTGCTAGTCATCGAGATAAGCTGTAATGGTGAATGTTGATGGTACAGTTTAGTTTATCTGTTGATGAACAGTGTTAAAGCTTGCTAGAAAATGTTACCTATTCAGCCCATTTATGAGATGCCAGGCCTATTTGGTGAACCTACATTTCCCATCATTCTTTATAGCAGCACACAAATGATGAAGTACATAGATTAACCTTTCAATTGTGCGTATTGGATTTTCATTACTCTCTTTTTCACCACCCATCAAAGACATGAGGCTATGTTGGGTAGTGAAGAATTGAGAAAAAGTAAGATATTTCCCAGAGTGTCCATTTTTTATCATTTCCCAAGAGGACTTTAGGGCAACTTGAAAAAAATCTCAGTTTACAGCTATGGTGTACTAGAACAAAATGATCTGATTTGGTGTTCACATGAAGTTTGATGTATATAATTCATAATTTGTGTGCTGCCAGAGTGACTGATGGTAAATAGGCCTGTCATGAATTAGCACTAGCTTAGCTCTCGGTTATGGCTCTGCTATACTAGTACAGCATGACTTCTTTCTCCTTGCTTCTTTCACTGTTATAGCATGGGTAATATGGCTCGATTTAGTCGGAGCAAATGCTAAATATAGAAAAGTACATGAAATAAACTCTCAACAGCAGAACTGCAGGGTGGAGCGCAGTTGTATATCAAGTGTAGGTCAGTAGGCCATTGTGAACCTCAGTTCCAGAATCCCAGAATATGTTCAATCATGCTAACAAACGAACGACGATACGAGCCAGAAGCCGGATTATCTTTTTGGAAAAGATTACGATGACGCTCTGAATCTCCTATAAATGTATGTTTTATTCATGTTTAAACAGTTGCCTGCGCGTTTGTGTGTGGAACACCAAGGTGTTTGCATAAGTGGCTCATGTGAGGATATGTGGATATGAGACATGACTTTGTGGATATTTTTCTTGGACGTCACCCTAAGTGCTCTCACTTGGCCGAGGGATACAGTGCATTCCTGTCTTGGAAGAACTGGGGGAGGTAAATTCACCAGCTGGGACTATCCAAAGTCAGCGTTTCACTGCACTTTCCTCTCCTGTTGTAACTCTAATTATGCCTCGAAGGTTCAAATCAATGAATGAGATGGATAGCTATGTGATTTTTGTTTCCATAGCACAGCAATCAGTTTCTTAAAATATCTAATGACATTTTAATAATTCATTCTGTCTTTTATCCAAAGCACTCTTACTTTCCAGCTCAAGCCAGTTTAGGGAGATTACCTGGTCTGTCTTGATGGTTTTAGAGGGGTTTTAGCCACGTAACTGTTTGTGAGAACAAATTGTAGACCAATGCATCTCTTTCAACATGGGTTTGATTACTGAACATGTAGATTCACCTGCGGTGTTCAGGCGGTTTGCTGTCTCAGAGTTTCCACAGATCTCTGTCGGCCCTGAACGCAGCTGCATGGCCTCGAAACATTTCGTCTTCTCTGATAGGCTGAGCACGATTACCCTCCGTTCCAGATGTTCCTACACACACTTCTGTCAATAAGCAGCCAAAACATAAGAGGCACATTAGGTGGACGACTGGTGCTTTCAAAAACCTGTGAGGCTTTGTTTATGTGAGTCTTGAATAATGGTTGTCATAACACAGGGCCATATCTGGGAATTTTCTTTGCTGCCACTCTCATCTAAGGTCTTTACATAAGTCTAAGTGTGGCTTTATGTACATACATACATGTATGTACATAAATACAATGCATACAGTACACACACAAACGTATAGTACACAATTTATGTAGATAAATATTGTTTGTATGTCGATATTATATACAAAACATATGTATCTACATATGTAGTGTACTATGTATTTTCTACATGTTAGTGCATTTAAATTAAAATGATTTAATATCTTTCATCATTGTGTTTATTTAGTGAATAACAGTGTGGAAAACATGTCTTCATTGTTTTAAACTAGAGTTTAAACAGTTATTTTAGTCAAAAAGATGTATTTTTTGTTCCAAAGATTGATTGATTGATTTGATTTGATTGATACATTTATTTATGCATTTATTTATTTACACATTTATGCATTTATTTATGCATTTAAGCATGCATGCATTTATTTATTCATTGATGCATGCATTTATGCATACATTTTTGCATTTAATTTGTTTTAATTTATGCATAATAATATGCTTTAATTTAAGATTAACATTGAAAAATATTAAAATGAAAAAAACTCTTACTCTTATTTATCATTTATTTATTTAATTATTTTTAAGCTATATCCCCCAACCCTAGTACTAAAGCATTATTTTCAGTTAAGCAGCTTTAAAGTAATATATAAAATTTTAAAATGTGAAAAGCACTTGTGCACTCTTGTACCAGGAGTGTACGATGTAAGTAAATGTATACCAATATGTTAGAAATGTTGCTGGTCGACACTCAATGTACTGCATGTTTGTAGCAGCTGTCACACTTAACCATCACCTTACATTGGCTACAAATCAATCACTGGTCATCTTGGCAAAAGAGCCGATCTGGTCTAGATAGTTGTCAGCTGTATGTTGTTGCAAGTTGCACTAAACTTTAAACTTTTATTGTCTCCAAGTGTTGTCAAACATCAAACTCGCGTTTGTAGTGGTTCCACCTGTGGACACACAGAGTGAATAAACTGTTTTGTTGGTTTCTTCTGGAAAAAACAGGTGTTAGTTAACATTGAACATATACTCTCTTCTCTGTCCCATCAGAAGGTGATTAAACTAACTGAACTAACATGTTTGCTCGTGCTGGTTAGTGATGGTTAGTGATGGACCAGTGAAACCATGTTCTTATGCCGTTTAAGCTTCACCAACATCCAAAAAAATGATTTACTGGTGATCAGCGGTGTTCAGTACAGAACAGCAGGTCAGTGTGAATTTTTAATGTCCTTTTATGAGGCTTTTAAAATGCATGCTATAAAAGAATCAGGGTTGTTTAGTTAGCGATGCTGTAGCTGTGTGCCGTTCCTCAAAGGCTAATGAGCATCAGAGCATCAGGTTAATGGAAGCTTTTAATGGAGGGTTTTTTATTGACATGCGATTGCTCCTAAATAGTTATGTTTACAAGAGCCACATTTGGAAGTATGTTTTCATTCTGTCAGCGCTGTCCGACAGGACATTTGGTCAGTCTCTTGGTTTCTATTTTCGAGCATCATGCTGGGTAGCAGAGAAGACATCATTGGTCCAAAATACTGCTGCACACAGTGGTTTATTAAACATCAGATATGTTCTGACTGTCATTATATCACATATTTTGTACTAAGGCAAGTCTTTGCTAATCTTTAGTGGTTATTTATTTGCTAGATCTATCTATCTATCTATCTATCTATCTATCTATCTATCTATCTATTATAGCATATCTATAACATATCTATAATATGTGTGTGTATTATGTAATTTACTTAATGTAAAATTTAGTATAAATATAATGTCTATATATACATAATAAATATTGTTTAAATAATGCAATCTAATTTTAAAACATAAATAATAAATATTTAAATTAAATAATTTTATTTATAAATAAATTGAATTTTTATCTTTTCATTTGGAACTTTTTGGACTTGAAGCAAAGAAAAACACATTTATTTATTTATTTATTTTTGGAACTTGATGAAAACAAACAAAGGCACTTAATTAATGCTTCTTCTCATTTTGGACTTATGTATTTAATATGTGTCTGTATTTAATATTTCTCCATGTTTTCACACCATATATATATATCCCGTCACGCTCGCCAGCCCAGATCTCTAACCACCACTAAAGCAGCTCGTGTCTCAGTAATTCTGCATGAATCGGATTATTGGTGTTCATTAATCTGTGCTCGTGTTCATCTCTCTCAGATGCCAGACGTGCTTTTCTGTGTTGAAAGCTGGAGTCAGACACGCGGTTCCAATTACGCTCTTTCTTGTGCTGTTCAGAAACAGTTGTTCGGGAATCAATCTCTCTTCCTCATTTTCTGTGTTTCTCTGCAGGGTCCCATCGGCCCCCCAGGCCTCCCCGGACCCCCTGGAAAGAGAGGACCGCGGGTAAGACGCTCCGCTCTAATGCATCAGTGTTTGGTTGTTTGTCACGGGGTGAATCCCGTTTCCCTGTGTTCGGATTCATGCAGCATCCGTATGTCTTGCTTTTTTCCCCCATTATTAAACAATCAAGTGTTTTTAAGCATTTTACATTTATTCCAAAATAATAACTCGAGGTAGTAACAATTTAAACTATATATTTAATTTGTGAACCTATGTTCAGCTATTCTTTTTAATTGTTAACTTTTAACTATTTTTGAATTATTCGGTCATCAAAGCTCGGTAAATATTGATCACAGACACAGAGATTTACTTTAAATTTCACCAAGCTGGTTACTCACTAAAAACTCCCACACATCATGTTTTCAGGCCATTTTAAGTCTTATTTTGACGTAATAACGTGGTTATATTTAAATGTATGAGTTGTTTACTTACTTTCTTAAATGAGTCTTCCCATTTACACCATTATGTTGTTCATTCAGACTGATTCGCGAACGCGGACATGAACACAAGAGGCGGGATTTATCGCATGAACCAATCACAGCCGATCATAACCAGTCAGATCCAATCATACCGTTTTTGTACTACAAATTTTTTTCTCATCCAATATTTTGAGGAGACACTGCCTCCTCTGAGGAAACGCTCCTAATCTGAAGGCTGAATAAATAACTTTCCATTGATGTATGGTTTGTTAGGATCGGACAATATTTGGCTGAGATACAACTATTTGAAAATCTGGAATCTGAGGGTGCAAAAAAATCTAAACACACACACACACACACACACACACAGACACAGACACACACAGACACACACACACACACACACACACACATATATATGTGGATAGTTTGTGAAGTGTGAACGTTACGTACATTTACAGAGACTGTCCGTCTTTGTGTCTCTCAGGGTCCACCTGGTCCTCACGGGAGTCCCGGGCCGTCTGGTTTACCTGGTCCAAAGGTAAGTTCCCGTTTTCTGCTCTCTGTACGTCCGGCGCCGGAGGGAATGTTTCCGATGATATCCTGCGGTGAGATCCCGCAGTCTGAAACAAGTCTGTGCCGTCACACGAGCGCAGCGGCCGCTCGAGACGCTCCTCCTGTTCAAACTCGCCACCTTCTGTAGCTTAATAGCTCTCGTTTCGTAATAAAGGTTTGTTATGGTGTGTGTCAGTCGCTGTGTGTGTGACGCAGAGGCTTCGGAAAACACTGGAAAGAGCCGTTGGAGAGACACTGACAGTTTGATCTGCTGAAAGAATCCATGAGTCAGAACATGGAGAAATGTAAAGCACACCTGGTCGAGAGCTGCAGGTTTATTCAGGGCTGTTTAACAGATGGACTCACTTTGACCTCAACTAAATCGACGTCATCGCAGTGATTCCCAGAGCAGCACCTTTATTTACACTTTTTAATTCATTTTTATTCATATTTTCAGTCAGCTTTTATTTTCTTTTGTCATGTTTATTAGTTTTTGCTTTTAAAAAAATTTCTAACTAGTTTTCATTTATTTTTATTTCACTTTTAGGTTTAATTAATATTTTAAATCAGCTTTTTTAAATATTTTGAATTAAGTTTTTCCTACTTTCAGTTTTAATAGTTTCCGTTTCATCAGTGGTTCCCAGAGCAGCAGGTTTATTTTTATTAACACTTTTTAATTAACATTTAATTTTTTATTTTTATTTAACATTCATAACAAGCTGCTTTAGATCAGTGTTTTTTGGTGTCATTGATATACTGTTATAGTTTTTGTTGGCATTTAGAATTTTTATTTCTATAAAATTATATTATATTATTTAATTTTATATAAATATATATATATTTTTTTTTCGGTTTTCACTTTAATATTAGTTAAAGGTTTGGTGATGTTGTTGTATGTTTGTCATATTTATTAAATTTTTTATGTGTCTATATAACACTTAATTAACACTCATTTTAATTTAGCATTCATAACAAGCTACTTTAGATCAGTGTTTTTTGGTATCATTGATATACTATTATAGTTTTTGTTGAAATTTAGAATTTTTATTTTCATTAAATTATATATTATAATTTTATGTAAAGATTTAAATTTTTTCCGTTTTCACTTTAATTTTAGTGAAAATTGTGGTAATTTTATAGTGCGTTTATTGTTTTTGTTTTTTTATTAGCATTATTTTTTTTAAATGCGTCTGTATAGTTTTTATTATTTTTATTTATACGTTTTAGTTATTTTAGTACTTTAGTTAAACTAAATTAAAATGAGAAATGTTACCTTAAGTAGCTGATTTTTTAATTAAATTAATTTTATTTTAAGTTATGAAATTGTTCTTTTTTTTTTCTTTTTTTTTTTAATGGTTTTATTTTAGAGTTCTAATAGCCCTGCTAGGAATGTGATGCTTCGTGTAAAATACGTGACTTGTTAAAGGTAGAGTGATGTGTTCGTGATGTCAGAGGGGTCGGCATTCAGTCAAACTTGTTGCGATGGTTTTCATAGAGGTAGCTGAAAGGTTGCAGGTTCAAACTCCTCAAGGGTTCGTCCGTGACCTTTCACCCCTGTGTTCTTGGTAAAGATGATATACTCCGCTGGACTGAACCTTTGACTTAACCTGGTGCCGTTCAGTGGTGACGTTACGTGAACGACGTGTGTGTGATTGTGCAACATCAAGAGGCAGGTGTGTCCTGAAAGGTGATGAACCTGTGGGGTTTTTCCAGCAGTGGAAAAAAAGGTCCAACAATCGTGTCTGTCATAGTGATGAGACGTGTGTGTCAGTGGGAATCTTCAGCACTGACAATGATTGTGTATATATATATTAGTGCTGTCAAAATTAGCGCGTTAACGCAGACGATTCATTTTTTCAGTTTAACGCGTTCAAAATTCACATTTACAAAAATACAGAAAAGATACAGGTGACGAGGAGCTTCAGCAGAACAACAGTGAACCTCGGTCAGATGAGATGTTTTCAGGCCGTATGTCAGTAAAAACTAATTTTCCTGTCCTGTCAGCTGTTATACTGTGCCCGTGGCACGTGCTCATCAATTGCACGCACAAATGCGGCGGCAGCGCTGTATTACATTAAAGCACTATATCATATCAAAGCGCGAAAGAAACGACGAGCATGCAATGTGGTAGATATGTCATCAGTTAAGTCATGAAGTTACCAAAAAGGCGATTAAAGCTGCACTAAAACTGTGCATGCAAGTATTTGTTATATATGAGTCAGATTTAAGAACATGTCTCTGAAATGCAGTGGTTTTCCAAACTGCACTGTCTCCCTCATCTCACACACCCGATTCAACTCCTCAGCTCATTATAGAGACTTTAAGAGCTGCTGTGGGTCAGATAAGGTAAAGAGTTATGAGAAACTATGATGCGTGTCAGATCCACGTTATGTTCAGCTCTTAAAGCAGCCAAAATAACCTGATAACCAGCTGCTGTGACGTCTGTTCATCAAAGAACAAAAGAAAAAAGAGCTTTAAGATTCATCTATACTTAATTTAGAATTTAGTGTTTGATAACTTTATTCAATTTCTGTATATTTCCTACTTGCATGAAGTTATTTTTTAAAGTCTAATAAATGTTAAAATTGATAGCTCTCAATTATAGCTACTGTAATGTTGAACGGCTATAGTCAATGGTTAAATATTAGGGGAAAAAATCAATTTCATAGAGACATCAGTAGTATTGGTATCAGTGATAATCGCCTTCAGACATAAAAAAAGATGCCACTAAAGAAATATTTTAAAATATACTGTCTTTATGTTGTTTCTACATTAATTTGAAGATTGAATGTGAAATTATCACAATGTAAAAGTATATTAAAAAATTTTAATGTTAGGTGGGATTAATCAATTTTTTTTAATTTCAGAAAAAATGTGTGATTAATTAGTTGAATTTTTGTAATCGATTGACAGTATGTGTATATATACATATATGTTTTTAAAATATTTCTAGATAGTTTTCATTTATTTAATTCAGTTTTAGTTTTTTAATAGTTTTTAGTTTTAATATTTTGAATCGACTTTTATTTTCATATTTTCAGTTTTCATTTGAATAATTTTTTTTATTTTACATGTGTCATGTTTATTAGTTTTTGATTTTTAAAATTCATTTATTTTTCCATTTCATTTCTTTTTTATTTCTTTTTTTTTGCAATTGCTTTAGCCATTTTAGTAGTTTTTTCTTTCATTTTAATTTTTTTATTTTTCAATTGTAATTTAATTAAATCTTTTATTTTCATATTTTCAGTTTTCATTTGAAAATTTTTTTTTATTTTACATGTGTCATGTTTATTAGTTTTTGATTTTTAAAATTCATTTATTTTTCCATTTCATTTCTTTTTTATTTCTTTTTTTTTTGCAATTGCTTTAGCCATTTTAGTAGTTTTTTCTTTCATTTAAATGTTTTTATTTTTCAATTGTAATTTAATTTAATTTAATTTATTTTTTCATTAAATTTATTTTTTATTTAGTTTTAATTTTTGTATTTTTAACTGAAGTTTAATTTTTTTTTATTTTGCTATGTGCTTTTTCCATTTTTATTAGTTTTTTCTTTTGAAAAATATTTCATTTTTTATTTGAGTGTTTAAAATTAATATTTGATTCAGATTTTTTTTTTCATGTTTTCAGTTTTCATTTTAATTTCGGTTTAATTTTCTTTTGAAAAATATTTCATTTTTTATTTGAGTGTTTAAAATTAATATTTGATTAATTAATTTTTTTCATATTTTCAGTTTTCATTTTAATTTCGGTTTAATTTTTAGTAATTTTATGCTCTTTTGTCTTTTTTTCAGTTAGCTTTAAAAATATTTCTAAATATTTTTTTTGTTTTTCATTATTATTTTTAATTAAAAGCGTTAGTTACATGGTTGCCATGAATGTTGGTTTGCTATTTGCGTGTCGGTTGCAGGAGGAGGGGCATTCTCATCCTAGAGCGCATTTGATTGGACAACATTCTGTGTAGTGCAGGAATGTCATCAGTATTATTTCTCAATTTTCAAGAGGAGAAAGACTGTATATTGTAGATTTGTGTTTGTGTACATGTGGACTAAAAACCAAAACACAATTCTGATTTGCCTTTAGATCAAATTCTCCATGACAAATTAATTGGTCAGATTAGTAGTTGCACTGGAGATTTCAGTCTGTCTGTTTCTGTGTGCGTCTGTCACGTTGAACATGTGCAGGTCTTTACTGACCCCTGCGTACTTTAATACGACCCGACTGGAAGTGATGTGGCTCGTAAAGCCTGCCGGGTGGCAGCAGAGCGAGTCTGGAGGGTAGCGTTGCGCGTAAACCCGTGTGGATGATTTACAGCAGCAGACGTCTACGGGCTCCCACAACCACACTGCACTCGCTCGCTTTCACCACTAATTGCAGCTCAGTGTGACGAGGGTTTCCTAAAGCAAAGATTCAACGCTCTGATGCTGCTCTTTCACAGCTCAGGAGACTTAATGGAGACCGCCGTTATGTTTAGGTTAAATCTCATCCTTATGTTTCTCCTAAAATTAATTTGGAGAAATAAAAATCATTTGATATTGGGAGAATTAGATGAGCAGTATTTGAGTTCATATTGACTTTAGTATATTGTCCAGTCTGAGAGACATTGAGATCTCTTCTGAAACTCTGATGTAGTGTTTCTCAACCAGGATGACTTGAAATTATAGAAAATAAGACAAAACAAGCATTAAGATCAGATAAAACAACCAAAAATCTATATATTTCTAATTTTAATTCACTCCCTCAACAACTATTTTCCATCGGAAATCCTAGATATATGAGGCAGCCTAATTTCTAGACCTGGAAAAGTCATGTAATTTAATACAATTTACATAATCTAATCACGTAAATTAATAAAATTGCATTTTAATTCTAATTATAGAATTGTGATTTCTAGACCTGAAAAAGTCACATAATTTATTTAAAAAACATATGTAATCTAATGACATAAATGAACAAAATTGCCTTTTAAAAATAATGTACTTCTTTCTCATTTTAAATGTGGAATTTCTAGACCAGGGAAAGTCAGGTAATTTAATAAAAATTACATAATCTGATTACTTAAATGAATAACATTGCACTTTTAAAAAGAACTTGCATTATAAATGTGTGATTTCTAGACCTGAAAAAGTCATGTAATGTAATAAAAATGTTGTCATCTAATGACATGAATGAATAAAATTGCCTTTTTAAAAAGAATATACATTTTCCTCATTTTAAAAGTGTGATTTCTAGACCTGGTAAAGTCACATAAATTAATAAGAATTACATAGTGTAATTACGTAAATAAAATAAAAAAAGAAGAATATATATATATATATAATTTTAAGTGTAATTTCTAGACCTGGAAAAGTCAATTAATTTAATAAACATAATTAATTACATAAATTAATACAATTTTGAAATTTTTTAAAAGAATATAAATTTTTCTTGTTTTAAAAGACTGATTTCTAGACCTGAAAAAGTCATGTAATAAAAATGAATAAAATATTTCATATTTATATTTAATATTTAATAAAAAAATTATGTAATTTAATCATGTAAATTAGTAAAAATGCATTTTAAAAAGAATATTCTTTTTTTTTCATTTTAAAAGTGATATTTCTAGACCTAGAAAAGCCATGTAATTTAATTAAAAATACATAATCTAATCATGTAAATTAATAAAACAAGAATATAATTTTTCCTAATTTTAAAAGTGTAATGTCTAGACCTGGAAAAGTCAAGTAATCTAAAGTAAATTTTAATCTAATCAAATAAAGTAATAAAATTGCATTAAAAAAAAAAAAAAGAATATACATTTTTCTAGTTACATTTTGTTTTCTAGGCCAAAATCACAAACAAATGGAAAAGTCATGGGGCCTTCAAATATTGTTGAGGACAGTTGGGAGGCCTTGGAGTCAAAACCACTGTTTTCTAGGAGAAGTGTGAGATTACCGAGAGAAGCATCTGAGAAGCAGGAGGACTCCATTTCTTCTCTATTTTGCTGTCTAGGAGAAACAAAAGAGATTCATGTTGTTTCTTTCCCATTTAATCTGAACACTTGACCTTTATATTCAAAAGTGCCAAATACGCCAATCTGATTTTCCCATCAAGCTTCAGGACAAAATGTTCGTCTCTCTGTCCATTCAGAGGTGACCTGAGTGGGCAGCAGGGTCGTCCCGCTGCAGATATCATCACCGGGGGCCGATCTGAGCTCGAACGCAGTTGGAGATGGTGGAAACTGTGAAGCATCTCAGTGCAGCCCACAGATGAGTCATGTGTCTGCTGGAGAAACAAGACGGAGCTGTAGCGCTTTGTGCTTTATATCCCTTCTTAAGACTTTAGGGATGAGATAGAGAATGAGATGAGATGGGCTTCACAGGTTTGAGAGGTTTGGCTGTAACATGTTTACTTGAAGACATGAATGCAGCTCATCTGCTCTGTTGACGTTTGGTTTTTCAGTCTAAAGTCAGCGGATCGTGGCAGGGTTTGCTTTAGTAAAGTGGCATTTCGTAGGCATCAGATCTGTGCTGTCTAGTGTTGATTGACAGCAATTGTGTTTCCGTCAAACTGCTCGTTTCAAGGATTAAAACTTTCATTCATACCTGAATGGATTTGGAGTTGTTTGATTGACATGCTAAATTTAGTCCGTGCCATGAGCTTTTTCTTCCAGTGAACTTCCAGTGACTCCCTTTGCATTTTAGATGCAATTAAAAAGTATTTTGTAGTACAAAAAGCACAATATTGTACAAAATGAGATTGAATGAATCAATCAATGAATGGAGTCAGTGAATGATTATGGATGTATGGATGATTCATGTTGATCAACACATGATTGATGGCTAATGTGCATGGATGAAATGATTGATGGTGATAATTGGTGCATTGATAGATGGATTAATAAAGTAATGAATGAATGGGTTCAGATATCAACAGTCCATTTCTGATCATCTTATTCACTGCATAATAGATTGAAAACTGTATTATTCTGAGGTTTAGTGTGTGTTTGCATACATGTAGGAAGCAGCTTTTGCCTCTTAAATCTATCCAAATCCACTGTTATCACTTGCCTTAATCTGTCAGCACAGAAGAACTTGGTTTGCTTGTATGGAATTTTAGACATGCTTTGACAGCTCGTTTTATTAAATATATAACATCAAACTGAATTAACGTTGTGCATTTTGTTTATGTCCCAGGGTGCAAAAGGTGATCCTGGACTGTCCCCAGGTCAAGCGCCGACGGGCGATAAGGTAAATGATCCACAAACACGAACTACAACATCTTTTCTCTTAGCGTTGTTGGAAATGTCTTTGTATTTACAGCCCTAAAGCCTTAAACTACAACAATCACTCATTGGTTTTGTGTCCTTTAAAGGGATAGTTCACCCAAAAGTGAAAATTGTGTCATAATTTAATACAAAGTTCTGTCATGAAACTCTAGATGGCGCAGGCCGATAGGTTCTAACTCAATCTGATAGAATTATATCATCATTCACATAGCGCAGCTGATTGGTTTATTTTCGCAATAGCAGCCAATGAGCTTGCTGCTCAGCGTTCAAATACTTGGCTAGTGCTTGCTGTAGCAGTTGCAACGCGCTTCAGAAACCCTCCACCTTCCCCAGCTCCACTGTGTTATATATGGGTTTTTTTTCATATATGCTACTGCACATATAACATATATGAAATATATAATTTCATATATGTTATATGTGCAGTAGCAGTATTTCTTAAATGCTCACAGCAGCATGTCTGTGGATGTATTGGCAGTAGCAAGTCTCAGTGCCATGTATTTTACAATGCTAACCTCTCCGAGAGTTGTCATGACAGAACTCACCTTCATGTTGTTCCAAATCCGTAGGACTCTCTTGTTACATGGAACACATAACTAAAGCAAAACTTGCGCAGAATTTCAAAGCTGCTCTACAATAAAAATGGTCAGGAAACCTTGGCACCAAAAATTCCAAAACATGTATAATTCAAATATCAAAGTGTCAATCAAAATGTGTCTTGTCAGGTTTGGCATCAATGGAGATCATTCACAAGACACACAACAACCATTAATATCAAACTTGGTGGAGAACGCAGGCACAATTTGACAATGATGACCTTTTATGGTGCTTTTTGGTCATTTGTGGAGCTCAGCAGCTCCAATTCCCACTCATTTTAATTCTATGGAAACGAGAAGCATGCAAATTATACAAAATATGGGTGTTTGTTTGATTTCCCAGAAAGAAAAGCGTTGAAAAATTAGGGCGAAGAGTAAATGGTGGCAGAAATGCTTGTGCTTAAATTGCTTCTGTTTTCGTCATCTAAGTATGACCCTCAGGTGATGAAGGTCAACACTGAGTTTCTTCTCTTTTATTATTTCAGGGTGAAAGAGGACGGCTGGGTCCACAGGGTCCTAGAGGTGAACCAGGTCTAAAGGTAAGTCCTTCTCTTCTACCTTACTGCCAGAGAGCCCGTTTCAGCTGAATTATGGGCTGTTTGCATCGGTGAGGTGCAGTGTTTCATTCTCCACAGCAGTCATACAATATCCGTTACTACCACCACAGCGACAAGGCCCCCCTGAGCAGCGGCTGGATTGGGTTACGAACCAGAATAAAGACCCTGTGTGGTGTTTTTGGGGCAGGCGAAGGTCTGTTCACACTTCTCAAGACGTAACTTTGCTCGGGGACCGCTGTCACCTGGGAGCCCCTATAGAACCTGAGACCCCGCAGAGGTCAAGGGTCGTCTTTTAGAGGAAAGGCACTCTGCAGGGTGGCACGCTCCTGATGACATGAACAGTCCTATGTTGCATCTTCAAAAGCGCAACTGGTGTAAGTTTTAGCTCACGTAACTCAGCTAGAGAATGTGTTTTTGTAATATTTAAGGTCTGTGACTTGAGTAGGAGGGTTTGTGAGGGTAGTTTGTTGCGAGAGCATTGGCAGATTTAATGAGGGGTATTCAGTAGCTCTTGTTTTGGTTTGTGAGGTGAAGAGAATCAAAGGCCTTGCAAAGTCCTTTCTGTCTTGACTAGAAATGTTTGGCCAGAGCTCGTTTTAGGTCAGTCTTTTGCTAACAGTGGCCAAGTGTAATCGGATTTTCACTTGCAATCCCAAGAGCACAGTCGAGACTGTTTTTGTGTGGCTCAACTCTCAGAAAATTAATGTTCTCCAAGTGGAGTTTTCTTTGGAAATGGAGGCCTTTTGGAAAGAGCTCTTTTCTGTTGCGTCGGGGCTTTTAGTTGGTTTTGAAAGGTCAGTTGTCACAACCCGAGAAGTGATAAAAAGCAGATCTGTAGTGTTAGGTTTGTGGATCCTGGCCGGATCTGCAGGTGAAACCAGAACCGTTGATAGACTAGATCAAGTCATGAGAGAAGTCATTGATTTACCTCCAAAGACAAATGGCTTCATGTCAGCATGCATTCAAAAGACTTAGAGGCTGATCAAATTAAGTTTGTCCACGTTTCTTGCTTTATCAACCCATCTGAGCTGCGGGCTGGGATACCAATCCTAAAAGCTACTGAGTCATTTGTTGCACAACTTTTTGTTTACCTGCATAGGTGAAGGCTTCCGATTTTACTTCCATAATGTGACCTGTTCAGAGTGAAACAAGATACTCAGTGAGGTAACAATGCAGAATGGGAGTTGATTGTGAAAAGTCCTTAGTAGAAGTGATCAAATTGTCTTGACTTTCATTTCATGTTGAACCATCTCACCTCACTCCTGCTGAATGCTGGAGTCTTTGATCTTGAGCGTGCTAAACTTAAGCAGTCCGTTTAAATGCTGTTTTTATAGGTCATTAGTATCTGGAGCACTCAGCTTTTGCAGTAAAATGTTTAAAGAGCTTGAGCAGAAATAGTCCTGCAGGTCCAGACCAGGTCAGGCGTAAATCACAGTGACCTCTCTGATGCGTCATTGTCCTCTCGGCTGCTCCGCAGAAGGCCTGGAATTTTCCAAATCAGAGGATTGCACCACACTTGAGCCTCTCTGCTCGGTCCGACACACAGCGCCACCTGCTGGCAGACAGCTGTCGGTACCTCTATTAAATCAGGCATCTAAATATCAAACTATTCCATTCGGAGATATATTTGCACAACTGACTTTAGGATTGCATTGTTGTGCTTCAGTAAAATTGGCACTGATTGGTTCCAGCACACAAGAAATGTTTCAAGGTGAGGTTTTCTGACCTCCCCTCCCCGTCTCACTGTCGTGACTTGTCTTTCTTTCATGGGCTCGAGCTGGAGCTGTCAGACGCGGAAGGCTTTAAAGGGTTTTGACAGTTCTGGGGAAATTCTTAAGGGCTATTAGTCTTATCTGAGGCCACTGGGACTTTAGGCACAAAAAAAAATCCCCAGAAATGTGGAAAAGATAGAACATCAAGTACAAGTCTCTCTGTTTCTCCTTGTTCTTAACATTGTAGGGAAATGGGAAAATTCTTTGTTTTGCATTCTTACCGGCATTCTGTAAAAGAGTCGTGTCATAATCTGCTTTCTTTTTTTTCGCCTGCAGGGTCCCAAAGGCTATCCTGGACCAGCAGGTCTGCCCGGAGAACAGGTGAGTGGATGAAACGCATGTCTGGATGTCGGCCTGTTTGTGAGGTCCTCACATTGACATGTTCAACTACCGCTTCAGTAATTTAGTGTCCGGGAAGCTGCTTTGAAGCTGTCATTTTTCAGACCACAAGCCATATTTAACTAGTGGTGCTTGCTAAGTCAAGTATCACTGTTATTATTAACTTAAGTAGCTTGACAGTAAAGCTATTTTTTAAGTGGCAAGTATTGCATGAATTATTACTAGTGTAAAGCTAGCTGTGATTTGTTAAATAAACTATGCGGATTGTCTTCCTTATATACCTTCAATAATTAGCTGCTTTCAATTAGCAAATTGTACTATAGCTAAATTTTTTAAAAAGCAGTTTTATTGTAATTGATCTACTTTAAAGGGGTCATATGATGCTATTTTAAAGATCATTATTTTGTGTATTTGGTGTAACAGAATATGTTGACATGCTTTAATGTTCAAAAAACACATTATTTTTCAAATACTGTCCTCTACTGTCCTCTATGCCCCGCCTCTCTCAAACACGTCGTTTTCAACAAAGCCCCCTCCTTTGACAAGCGCAGTCTGCTCTGATTGGCCAGCTGACCCAGTGCATTGTGATTGGCCGAACACCACAAGCACGCGTCGGAAATGTGAACGATTGCGTGCACATTTGGGCGGCATTATGCTAATATTTCCATGTAGTGACGTAGACATATGGGGGCGTATTAGAACGAGGCGTTTTAGGTAGGCGTGGTTGACTCTTAACTTTTATAAGGAATATCTCTTTGGATTTGAGACTTTAGTCTTTGCAACTTTACAGATCTTCTTTATGCACCAAGAGCTTGTAACACTCCAAAGAGAAAGGAAAACTTGAAATTGCATCATATGACCCCTTTAATAAAAACGTTAATGCTGCTTGCCCATGCAAAAGCCGCTGCCAAAATACTAGGTGCGTAAATGCTAAGTTGTTCTTTTAGTGCATTACTATGGAGTGATCATCTTGAAAATTACCCTATTTTTTGGCATCTTTGTTCCAGTTTTCTGCGTAATATTGATACAGTAAGCAACACCTTAGCATAGCAATGCACTAAAAAACACGGCAGACTATTGCATGGGTAATCACCGCTAACGTTTTCTTTAAAGTAGCCTAATTACAGTCAAGCTGCCTTTTGGTAAACGGTTGCTACAAGTTGCTTAGAAAAAGTGGTAATGCTATTTAAAATTAATGCAATCTGAACAGTTTAACAAGTCAAAGCAGCATTTATACTAGATTAATTAATTGCTTTACTGTACTGAAGATATGTAAATGACCTCCGGACCATAAAGCAATACAATTCAAATTCAAACAGATATTAAATATTCATATTTCATAATATTTCACGGTGGTGTCTCTGCTAAACTTTCATAAAATCTAAATTTCACCTTATGTGAGTTTAATAAGGCCACACAACTGTTGAGTTTTATAGATTTTTTGTAATTTCAGGATTTTTCGATAAATTCCTTCAATTTAAGTAGTTCCTGTTAGTAGCAACAATAAATAAATAAACAAACTGGCTGCTACATTTAATGCATGTGTGAAATGCAAAATTTATATTTTTTGTCAACACCTGTCAGATTTTCTTCAATAGATGGAGCTAGGTTTTAGCATTATATTTAATCTCTCTTTCATATAGCAGCCATCCTGTCGCACATATTTTGCCCGTACGATCTGGTTTAATTCTCTCTCCATCCCTCCCTGAGGATTTTTCGATAAATTCCTTCAATTTAAGTAGTTCCTGTTAGTAGCAACAATAAATAAATAAACAAACTGGCTGCTACATTTAATGCATGTGTGAAATGCAAAATGTATATTTTTTGTCAACACCTGTCAGATTTTCTTCAATAGATGGAGCTGAACATCCTGTCGCACATATTTTGCCCGTACGATCTGGTTTAATTCTCTCTCCATCCCTCCCTGCATGTTTGACATGGCATTAAACAGATCTATGAGTTGTACCTTTGTACCTCCTCAATAACTGAGTCCGGAAGGTTTGGAACTCAATACATGGAAAGTTTCATTCAGTCACAAAGCGCAGTCTTTATATGCAGTCATCTGATGCAAAGATGATCCGCGCTGGAGTCGCGCAGCGGAGAGGAGCCGCCGTCTGGACTTCAGCCAGGGTCAGGCCGCGGAGAGCCGCTCCGGCCCGTGGATGCTTTGAGAAAGAGATGCCACAGGGAACAATAGCGGCTCTATTCGTCCACTGGCAGCCGCTCTCATCTCTCATTCACGTTTTTCCTTCTTTTCTCCTCAGGGTTTGCCAGGATTGCCGGGCATATCTGGGGCGGCAGGTTACCCTGGCAGGCAGGTGCAGTGACCAATATCCACTAAAAAACAAGAAAAACTGTGTTACTTCATCTTGTTCCAAAATTTGAAATATTAAGCTTGATTCTAAATTTAAATGTAATATCAGGCAGCTGTTCAGAATGTACTGCGCAGTATACTGTGCGTTGCCAAGTATTTTTAAAAGTAGTTTGTGAAACAGCACACAATATGCAATGATAAACATTTGAAGGCAAGGTGAATCGGGTAAAAATGAAACTAATAGAAATCACCATACTTCCCCAACTGATTAATATCAGGACTTTAAGACAATTGTTCTAGTCTGCGTACATTTACAGGACATAAATCTGAACATTGGATAAAGCCAGTTTCAAAATTCTAGCTTGATTTCGTTGACATATTAGAGTTAAAGGTTTTTACTGAGGGTATTTTGGAATTCTCTTTTTATCACTCCATAAATCAGAAAATACTGTCAGCAGCCAGAAAAAAAAAATTGTTTTACCTTGTTTTTAGGAATAAAGATATGGATTGTAATTGAAATCTACAGACGCAAATAGATAAAGTTCAATAAAATAAACACTTGTGTTGCAGATGTTTTCTTTCCAAGTTGCGGTTTTTTGCTGTTTTTAGCACTCTTCTGAGGAAGATGTCCTTCACTTGTTTTGGCAATGAGAAATTTTGGTCAGATTTGTTTAATGTTCATCCAGTCTCATTTTGTAAGTGACTTTTCTTTCTGTTTTAAAGAAGTTTTCTTTGGATTGTTTGACTACTCAAAAGAGAATACTCTCTGTATTCATCACATGTGTCTTCTTAAGGTGTTAGTTCACGATACGCGCTCCGAAGTCCCGATCTGAGGCAAATGATTTGCGAACCCGCTGCGAAGTCCCGTTCTGAATCAAATGATTCGCGATATGTGATTCGATTAGATGCGGCCGAAATTACATATACGGTTACATATATGGTTACATATACATTTAATTGTTTGATCAAAATTATTGCTAGGGACAGTTTAGTCCTGAGTACAGAGATGAAAACAACCCCCAAAAAATCTAAAGAAAATTTTGATTTTGTATTTTAAAATAGGACTTTTGTAAGATTTTTTTATTTTTTTATTTATTAATTAACATTTGTGTTTTTATAGCAATTAAGCCCATTTAATTGTTTCATTTTGATTTTATGGTAAAATATGACCTGGACGTGTTTTTTGCAGGATTCGTGATGTCTGTTGTGTGTATGTGTCATGTGTAACGTGATCATGTGTAACGTTGATGTCTTTTGTCTTGCAGGGTTTGGCAGGACCGGAGGGAAACCCTGGACCTAAAGGTGTCAATGTACGTACAGCAGCCATCTCATGGTTTCCTGTCAAAATATAGTGACTGAACTCTTACATCATCTCACTGAGAGCCACAAGAACGGATAACAAAGAGAGAGAGATATAGAGGATCTCTGGGAAGTTGAAAGGAGAATGAAGAGAAGATCAGATCCTTGCAAATTATTTTTGCATTTGTTGTTGCTGTTGACCCGCACAACAGTGAAGAAAAAACACATTTTGGGGCAAAATAGAAGAAACGGGTAGTTGCACCCAAAAGTTGGTGAATACATCTGAACATGTAGAACAGATTCTCATCTCAATTATCATCTTAAAATTATTCCATGATGCATGACCTTTTATTTTTGCAGTCCTCTAGCCTGTTTTGTCCCAGTACTCAAGAATCAGTGAGCTGTCCAAAGTCAAGATGCGACTGCTGCATCTCAGAGATGTTGCATTTTTCAGAAACGCAAGTCCTTTCAACATCTGGCAGTGTGCCATGGCACAGGAATGTGCAGAGACGGGAGGAGGGCCGTTTCTTTCATCTCTGACTGATAGTACATGTTATCTCACTTAACAAGAAGAAGAATGGCACATATAGCACTCAACAGCAAACAAAAACACAAGCAATTGCTCACACTCCACACTGAATGATTTGTGTCCAGTGTGTTAAAGCATGTGGAAAAAATGACGTTATCACACCTGATGCTGACATGAGCATATTGTTCTGTGTGTTATTGAAGGAAGTAAGCTGCATTATGTGTACATTACTTGTAAATCAATGAGATCAAAAGCAATCTACAGTTTTAAAAGGTGACAGATAAAATGAGGATGATAAATGAGGCTGTATCTTGTCGTTCAAAGTGAATCTGTGTTAATAATCTGGTGAGGAAATAAGATCAGTCGAGTTTTTAGCAAGTAATTTTTAAATCAAAATACAGCAATCTGAAATTATGTGGCTAGACAACCCAATGGTATCAATACTGTAAGTAGGTTTGTTCAGTCATATCATAGGTGGAGATTTTAGGCTCATGGCTTATTAAAAATTCAATTTTTCTTGTCCAGTAGGTGGCGCTGTCTCTTAACTGCTCTTGTACCATCAGGGCATGGAGTCGATGACTTGCACCAAATTTCATTCCAATATACCAAAGCATTTCACAGATACAGCCTTGCGTCTTGTTCTTTGCCATTGAATTTATTAATGCATTATTCGTAAATGGTACATCAGAGCACTCTTAACAACTTTTGACCGGCATGGTATCAGGATAATCTGAACACAATTTGGGGACACTCTGATGAAAGATGTTGTGTAGGAGGAGTTTGACAAATGTACTGTAAACATGTGGTTTTGATCTATCAGTGACGTGTGTCTGTTTTTCTGTATCAGGGCTTCATCGGACCTCCAGGAGTTGCAGGACCGCCAGGACTGGAGGGAGAGCGAGTAAGTTCAAATGCGCAGTTATACATTATAATTTCATAATAATGCAAATGAGATGCAAGGAACAAGCATATGCCGTTAGCATTAATTTAAGAAAAGAAACATGCTGTTGATTGCTACAAAAATTCTTTTTGAATCATCCCTCAGTTTGTAAAATGACAGAAGTATGTTTACTGTAATGCACTTACAATGAATATGTAGTGGGCCAGCATGCAGTGATGTGAAAAACCTCTAAAATATGCAACTAGCTTAAATATTACATGTTAACCTGAGACTGGTGTGATACCAACCCTGTCTCATATCAGGACCAGATAAAACCTGTTTATGCTGGTCAGTTTAGCTGTGTATCAGTGGTATAGTACATGCAGCAAACTTCACTCTCAGAAATTACAGTAATACATTTATGCATTTGACAGACACTTTTATCCAAATCGACTTGCATTGCATGAAAATTTTTCGTGTTCATGCATTCCATGTGAATCGAACCCATGTTAGTGGCATTACAAGCGTCATGCTCTGCTGTTTGAGCTACAGTACTATTATAGTTTTAAATATATTGAATTATCAATTTAATTTTAGTTTTATTTTTAGTAATTTTGTTCTGTGCTTTTTTCATTATTATTATTATTATTATTTTTAAATATTAACAAATATTTTTTGATTGATTGATTGATTGATTTAGTACTTAAACTAAATGAAACCTGAAATATTGCCTTGGCAACTAACTGGTAAGTTTTCCATCTAATGTGTACAGTATATTTCATTATTTATGTCAGTTATTTATTTCAGTTAACATATGTTTTAATAGTTTTTGTTTTATTTGACTATACGTTTATATATATTTTTTTATTTTATTTTACATTTTTAAAATTAAGTTAAAATTTATTCATCCTAGAAAAGTAATTCCACCTCAAAAGGATGTTTTAAACAATTAACAGAGCAAATAGGAAGCATTTTTACTAAATAATTTATGTTTCTCCTCCTGTGCACTTGCCCTATAAACGTCCATTGTAAATATGTTACTGTAAAAGCATGTTTCACTCACTTTAGATACTGATGGACGAGTCAAAATGATCACAGGCTCCAGATGCTGTTTATATCCAACAGTATTCCTTTAATATCAGCATAATGGCAGTTTCGTCCGGACATGTTAGACTGACAAACACACATGGGCTGTTTAGGCCCGAACATTGTGTTGAGAGTGCTGCGATCTGACAGACTCAAATTCCCAAATGAATGACACACACAACACACAAGACAACAGCGTCGAGATGGATGACGCCCCCCGGCTCAGTGTGATCAATGTGTGTCAGATCGGATCATTTGGTAACCGCCATCGTCTCGATGTGTTCCAGGGAATTCCGGGTCCTGTGGGAATCAAGGGTCCCAAAGGAAGACAGGTAAACGCTCCCTCATTCATAAGCTGTCTTCAGGGGATATTATGCAAATGAGTGATGCATTTTTAAAACAGATGAAGTTACTTGTGGGTAAAGAAAAGTCAGGAAAATGAACAAAGAATCTGTTCTTGTCATCTGCCGTCCAGCTGTAAAGCCGACAGCATTGTCCTGGTGGAAGATGTTATGCAACGTATAAAAGTCTGCATTAGTACAGAAACATTGCTTTACTTCTTAAAGGGGTTGTGAGGGTCATTCTGAATGATGCACATGTGGTAAATGTTCTGCGGCATAACAAAAAAAAAGAAAAGAAAAGAAATATATAAACACGTCATTCTGCAAGTTATTGTACAAACAACTTGACAATTATCTGCATTGGTCGACTTTTTACGATTAGCATCAATAGCACATTTTTTTCTTGTGAAGTTCAAGTAAATATTATATGAAATAAGTGTTTTATTTAGATTCAGCAATTTTATGTACATTTTATTTACCACCATTAAATCATGTAATGATAATAATCATCATGATCATCATAATAATAATCACAATCATAATAATGCTTTTATTAAAAATTAAGTCGTCTCTTAAAATAATGAATTAATTATTTGTAATTATGTCATTTTTGAATATTTGACATTTAGGTTCAGCAATTCTATGTACATCTTATCTTCTTCCATTAAATCACATAATAATAATAATAATAATAATAATAATAAAATCTAATTAAATAGTTAATTATTTATACTTATTTAATTTTATGTAACATCTAGGTTCTTACATTTTATTCACATCTTATTTTCTATCATTAAGTAATAATAAAAATAATAAAATCTAATTAAATAGTTGATTATTTATACTTATTTAATTTTATGTAACATCTAGGTTCTTACATTTTATTCACATCTTATTTTCTATCATTAAGTAATAATAAAAATAATCAATTATTTAATAATGAATTAATTGTTTGTAATGATTTAATTTTTTAATATTTAACTTTTAGATTCAGCAATTTTATGTACATCTTATTTTCTACCATTAAATCATATACTAGTACTACTACTACTAACTTATTAAATAATTAATTATTCTTAATAATTTATTTAGTAATTATTTAATATTTAGGTTCAGCAATTCTATGTACATTGGATCATATATATAAAAAAAATAATAATAACAAAATAAGTAAATAAATAAATGTATAAATAAAACTATTATAATAATAAAAAGAATGAGTTAATAATACAAATAAATAAATAATTATAATAATAAAAATAATTAATAATAATAATCTTGTAGATTGATTTTCTATAGATTTCTATTGATTGTTTATAGATATCAGCATCAGCCATTAAGAAATCATATTGGTCGACCATGATTGTATAAGTCTACAGCTTTTAACCAGGGGTTTTCAGACATTTGATAAATCGCTCCTTGATTCTCAGAGATTCTTCATAAAGTCACTCTCCACTTCTTGAAACTCTCAAGAGCAGCTCATTTTGGTTTAGTTTTGGGAAGCGTTGGTCCTGAGAAAGCCCTCAAACGCACGAGCCTGCTAAAATCACAACACGGATCGTGTGCCAGCTGGGCTCCTGCCCGCCGTCTGCAGCAGAATGATTAATCACAGGCATCTCCAGCGCGGATAAAAGCTTGCTGGAAGACGTTCAGAGGCCCCTGGGCTCTCAAAGACACAAGCAAGCATGCAGACGCTCTCCTTGAACTACAAACCGCTGCCATTTACACAGCAGATCCTTTACAGTAACATGCACTGATCAGGAGATAGTTAAATAACTACAAGATCAGACTGACACCCAAACAAAGCATGATCTGCCCTAATGGAAAAGCGCTGTGTGTCTGATGTGAGACTGATGCAGTGTTTTCGCAGGGTGTTGTTGGCGATGTGGGTGAGCGAGGGCCGCCCGGACCGGATGGAAACGAGGTATGAGTCTCGCTGCCATCAGATAAACACTCTTATATAGAATTAAGATGCGTTTATTTCACTGGGACTTCACAAGAGATTCCGACAATAGATCTATATTCATATTTTCATTTAGGGAAATCCAAAGAGCACCATAGATTTTTTTTTGGACAGTAGTACAAATGTGTGCATAAATTATTTAAATTAATGTATTAAAATTATGTGTTAATAATTAATGAATTATTTGATTTATAATGATTTCATTTTTAAATATTTAACATTTAGGTTCAGCAATTTATAAACATCCTGTTTTTCTGTTATATAGTAATAATAATTGGTCATATTGGACGATTGTACAAGTCTATGGTTTTTAATATATAATAATTATGTATTATGTATATATTCAGTACCATAATATATGCACTGCCGTTCAAATGATTGGGGAGAATAAATAAGTAAGACCAAATAATATTAATTAAATTAGATTAAATAATAATAATGAATTATTTTAAAAATAATGAATTATTTTATTCACTAAGGACACATTAAAATTAAAAAGTGACAGTAAAGACTCCTATTCCTATTACATTGGTATTTCAAATAAATGCTGTTCTTTTGAACTTTCTATTCATCTGTGAATCCTGAAAAATAAAATGTATCACTGTTTCCAGAAAAATATGATTCAGCACAACTGTTTTCAACACTGATAATAATCAGAAATGTTTCTCGAGCAGCAAATCAGCATATTAGAATGATTTCTGAAGATCATGTGACACTGAAGACTGGAGTAATGATGCTGAAAATACAGCTGCGCATCACAGAAATAAATTACATTGTAACAGATATTCACATAGACAACAGCTGTTTTAAATTCTAAAAATATTTCACAATATTTACTGTAATTTTAATCATATAAATGCAGCATCGGTGAGCAGAAGAGACTTCTTTTAGAAACATTAAAAATCTTACCGACCCTAATCTTTTGAACGGTAGTGCATCAAAGCACCTTCGAAAAAATCCTAAAATAAATAAATAAATATTTGTATCGGAATTTTAACCTTATCCTAAAGTATTCTAAATTTCTTCCATTATAAAAGTCATCAGTGTGTCTTTTATGAATTTAAAGAAAATCTTTCTGAATTATAAAAGGCCTAAACTTCCCATATAATGTAAAGAATCATGTACGTCCCTTATTTTATTAATTTAGATGCTTTTTTTAGTCCCATTAAAACTGATTCCAAATTATGACAGAAATTCCATCAGAAGCCCGTATTTTGGCTATAGATTTGCTTCCTCTGGATGTTTTTGCAGGAATGTTATTGTACCAAAACCACTTACAGCTGTAGAGATCTTTGATGTCTTCAGCCCAAAATCAGTGTGTTAAAAACAAAGAAAGCCTCGTGATCTGAATGCACTGTGGGATTTGTGACGTGTTTGGTGGATGTGCTTGTGTTTCAGGGGCCCGTTGGAGGAACCGGCAGTAGTGGATTCCCAGGCCTGAGAGTGAGTCCTTACACACACATACAAACACAGAAGGGTAAACCAGCTTCAGCGTCTGATGTCTGATATTACTGCATATAACACACGCTTACAGCAGCGATTGTGGGCTGCTTTGATTTCTCTGTTCACCCGTTCTGTCCTCCATTCTTCGAACGAAAACATGTTCTTCTCCCTAATGTTTAGGAGAAAAGTTTTCTCAAAAACTGCCGTCTTTCAATACCAGACACAAATATACTGTGTACTTTCATGCAGGGTTATTTAATTAAAACTAAAAGTTCATTAAAAATAACATGTTCGTTACTTTATTACATTTATTTTATTTTAGCTGGTTTCCAAGGCAGCATTTCTCATTTGCATTTAGTTTAACTTGAAGTACTAAAATAACTAAAACTAAACTAAAATAATATCTATCTATCTGTCTGTAACAAAGTTCGTAGTCACGGGAAGAAGGAGGCGGGAACCGGCGAACACTTAAACAAAACTTTAATAATAAAATAAACACAAAACAGCGCGACAGCCCCTCGCGGACGACTGAGCGCCACAACAACTAAAGTCGGTCTACACTAGGGCTGAAACGATTCCTCGAATACCTCGAGTAAATCGAATACAAAAAAATCAGAGGCAAATTATTTGCCTCGAGGCTTCGTTTAGTCCATTTACTGTAACTACACACGGAACACCGTGTTTCCCCACGGACCATTATTACTGACGCACAACCCGATAAACGCTGGACCACAGACTGTAAAAAAACAGCAGTGGACATATTTAAGATCTTAAATCAATATGGTGGTTAGTTATAATGTCCCTACGTTAGCTATGTTTTGTGAAAGACTAAACACCATTGTGCATAAAAATACCACAGAAAGTAAGTTAGTCCGAGACCGGTGAGTGCCGCAGGTGTCGTGCATTAGCATTTCCTCCACCGGCCTCGCTCCGTTCCCACGGCTCTCGGCCCCGCCCCTCTCGTCACACTGTCTATTTGTCTATTTGTCTGTCTGTCTATCTGTCTGTCTCTGTCTATCTATCTGTCTGTCTGTCCGTCTATCTATCTATCTATCTATCTATCTATCTATCTATCTATCTATCTGTCTGTCTGTCTGTCTGTCTGTCTGTCTATTTGTCCGTCTGTCCGTCTGTCTGTCTGTCTGTCTGTCTATCTATCTATATGTCTATCTGTCTGTCTGTCTATCTATCTGTCTTGTCTGTCTGTCTATATGTCTATCATCTATCTATCTATCTGTCTGTCTGTCTGTCTGTCTGTCTATCTATATATATGTCTATCTGTCTATCTTTCTGTCTGTCTGTCTGTCTGTCTATGGTGAAATTGTGAAATGGTGAAATTACTAAAGCTAACTCAAAAATGTATCTCATTTATATTAAAATAATTCTATTAATAATTCCATTATATAATAATAATAATAATGATAATACTGTCATATGACTTGTCAAATATTGATGATGATTTTTCTGGAGATATAATGCAATGATTGTGATGTTTCATGCACCCTTAATTTGGCCATTAAGTTTCCAAAAGACAGTCTTAAATTTCTCATTTTTATTTAGTTTAACTTGATGTACTAAAATAAGTAAAACTTAAATAAAAAATTGCAAATTTTTAAAGACTATAATAGTACCTCAGTGATGCTAAAATAGCACTGGCGGTAAGTAGGGGAGAGCGGGGCACAACCTAACACTTTTTGTGTTCTAATGAAAAAAGAATTGAAGAAGAATTTAAAACCGGTTAGTGTCTTCTGCTAGTTAGCAAAGCATTAAAGAACTATCTAACCTGATAAATAACAGATTGGAGATTAAAATAATAGCATATTTCTCTCATTTTAATTGAATACTAAAAACTGAGATGAAAAATTTGCTTCAGTCAGAAATGTACTTTTGCTATGGTAAAATAAATGCTCAGAGATATCTTCAAAAGATTTTTGAATTTTGGCACACTTTTGTCTCTATATAGTGTGGATGTGGCAACTAGTAAATGCTGTAAATTTTGTTACGCAAACATGTGTGGAACAAAACGACTAACCCCTCGTTAGTTTGTGCCCCGCGCACCCCTAATGCGATGTGCTTGGTTAACTGACGCTGAGTGACTGTGATCCCGGCTGCTTTCTGTCTCTTTCATCTCTCCTGCAAGAGCAGATTTTGGCCAAAAGCAGCCGTTTATCAGCAGATCTCTGCTCCTGAACTGTTGAGGATTATTAATATCCTCTTGGCAGGAGCTGCTGGCGGGACTCAACTCTGTACAGTAGCAGAACAAGCTGCTGAAAACCGGGCCAAAGGCCTCCGAAAAACCCAAGAACTGATTCGGAGTCCGATTTCATATTCATGTGCAACATTACTAGGCAAACGTAAACGACAAAAGTTATGCAGCATATTGTTACTTAGCAGAAGAATAGTTTGTCCTGATTATTAATGTTAATAAATGGAACTGCTTATTTGCAAGTGATTTTACTTTATGCACCGAATCAAAATATTGTGCTGACAAGTAAAAAACGGCTAAAAACTACAAAAGCTGTTTTATAAAAAAACACATCTTTTTAAGATATTTTACGTTTTTATTATTTGTATTTATTTATTGTGTAGTATTTGTATTTCTTGCATGGCTTTGGGTATGAGAAAAGCACATTATAAATAAAAAATTAGTAGTAGTAGTAGTAGTATTAAACTGCTAAAACAAATCCTGTACCAGCTTAAACTGGTTTGCTGGTCTTAGCTGGTCTCCCAATCTGGTCAGGCTGGTCTATCGAGGTTTTGAGGGGTTTGGTGCTGTAGACCAGTATGGAATGCCAGCAAACTGGTTTAAGCAGAGTTTTTTTTCCCCGAGAACAAAACAAATCTAATGAAATGACATCATGCCAAATTAAAAAAAAGGCGGGGCATAGAGGAGAAACAATAATGTACAGTATGTGGAAAATAATGTGTTTTTTTTACTTTAAACCGCATAAACACATTTCATTACACCAAATACACAAAATAATGTTCTTTTTAGCAGCATCATATGACCCCTTTAAAATCATCACAGTCACAATCTTCACATTATATCTCCACTCCAGCAAAATCACCATCAATATTTGGCAAGTCATGTGACATTTTAGTGTAATTGAGATACTATTATACTTTTTTTTATTTTATTATTTTATTTTTTTGAAGCATGCTTCTGCCACTGAATAAAAAATAATAAAGGTAATTGTGACTTGTTTTCCTCACAATTTTGTGATATGAACTTGCACTTGTGGGTTATAAAGTAATAAATGCGAGATATAAACTCATAATAGTGAGGAAAAAAGTTAGAATTGTGAAATGAAAAGTTGAAATTATTTTCTAATTTTTTTCTGTTGCAGAAACAAGCTTTCATAGTTTTTAATCAATATTTTGAATAGATTTTTGTATTTAAATTTTATTTATTTTTATATTTAATTTAGATTTTTCATAATTTTTTAATTTTTCATATATGTCTATATATTCAAGTTTTAGTTTGTTTTTTTCTATTTTATTTCAATTAATGATTATTTTTATTTCAAGTAACAAAATTTTGATTTGTTTTTTGATGGTTCCAGCTTTGGTTTTAGTTTTATTATGTAAATATATAGTTCAGACATGAAACTCTAGATGGCGCATTCTGACGGGTTGTTAATGTAACCGATGATATTCAGAGAGTTAAACGACTTGGCACAAGCTGATTGGTTCATGCTGCATAT